AAATGTGCGAACCACCACCAAACTGTGTGCGAACAATGGGCGAATTCTGTGAGACGTAAAGCACCCCTAAATGGAGCTGTTTTGGGGAAGACAATCACACATCTGGCTATCCCCATCACGGAAAGGGCCGTAATTATGAGTGTGGGTTTTCCTTCGTGGGACTCCGAGCATCTCAAGCTCGGGAAGACCAGAGCGGCCAGGCTGGCCACCAGTAAGTCACCATCCGTCCCTGAGAAAGCGCGGCCCCTCTGGGTCTCTAAGTCTTGGTGCCAGGAGCGGCCCAGGGGCCCACCGTGGTAACCGCGGGTGCTCCAGTCCCAGAAATGTCAGGTCTGGGTGCCGCAGGGATAAAGCGCCGGCTCTGTGTCCACGTGGACCAGACTCTTGGAGGCTGTGGGTTTGCATCGATTTGGTATCTGCCGGCTTCCGATGGAAGGCTCTAAGCCTGGAAGGAACTCTTCAAATTCTAGAGATTTAGAAGTTGAGCTAAAAATTGCTTCAGAAATCATGCTTGCAATTAATTCACTGGGAGTGCTTTATGATGGGGCCAAATGTCCACTTTTCGGCGTGTCCTGGCCCAGAGCCCCCCTGCTGGGGTGATTTATGCTTGTGACGTCCGGCTAATTGCAACAATCACCACTTAATGCGAGATATCTAGCCCCCCCCCCCATCCATTTTGATCTCTCTCTGCTCGTGGCCATCTTACCCGCCCCCAAATTGGTATTGAACAATTTCTAGCTCCAATTCATCTTCCACGTCGCTGCTAACATGTTGAAGCCCACGCCGTGTACTCAAAAAAGAAAAAGAGGGTGTCCATATTCCAGCGAGTTCCTTAAAGCAGAGAGGAACTGTCAGAGAATGAGAATTTTGGGGGCGGGCTCTTTGGTTGAAGACTACATGGGCTAGGAATGCAGAAGTGGATGGGACTGGCTCCTTAGTCCCTAAGGCCCTTGATAAGCAAGCTCACGCTGGCCCACGCATGCGGGTCTTCAGGTCGGCCTGGGCACGCGCACACCGTGGAGAACGGTGATTCCGTAGGTCCACAGGCGGTGGTTCTCACTGGGGGGCGGTTCTGCCCCCTCCCACGCCAGGGGACACTTGGCAATGTCTGGGCCCTGTCTTCTGGCTGTCACTGGTCGGGAGCGCGAACAGTCCCTGGCGGGCAGGCCAGGGACCCTGCTAACACCCCACAATGTCCGGGGCGGCCCCGACAACAAAGCATCATCTGACCCAAAATGCCAGCAGTGCCGGAGTTCGGGAACCAGATTGATAAGTCATACGCTCTCAAGGCCATGTCAGCCTCTACCTGGCATTCTTTTGGAACAGTAAAATATTTTCTAATGAGACTTTCTCAATCACCACGGAGTCCTCTTATCTTCTCCTCAGAGGCCTTGCTAACCTTGCCCAAGGGCATCGAATCCCTGCATATTCTGGCTTCTTCAAAGATTGCACAATCTTGTAGTCACTCCTTGGGTTGATTTGAAAATTTATCTGCTTCCGCTGCAGATTAGGGGACAATAACTTGCTGAGAATTCTCTTCTAATCTTTCTTCCATGAATACCATAACTTTTACGTTGAGATCACTTTAAAAATACATTTTGGAATGTTTTGTTTTGTTGTGTTGTTGTGGGTTTTTTAATTTTCACTGAACAGGATTTCACAAGCCCCTTTCCCCTGCATTAACACAAATACATTGTGCCCTGGCCAGGTAGTTCAGTTACTTACAGCATTGTCCTGATGCACCAAGCACCAAGGTTGTGGGTTCGATCCCCAGTCAGGGCACATACAAGAATCAACCAATGAATGCATCAATAAATGGAACGGCAAATCAATGTTTCCCTCTCTCCCACTCTCAAATAACTAACTAAATAAACAAACACATTCTAAACGTGTCTTCTGATGTAATTTTTCACTCTGTGAATGAAACTTGAATTTACTTACTCAATCCCTGGTATATATGTGACATGTGACATGTGATATGTTTTAGTACAGAAAACACCAACGAACGCCCTGTTCACACAGCTCCGCCCACACACTGGATTTCTTTAAGGCCTGCGGTCCCGAGTCCTTCTGAAATGCCCGCTGCTGTTCCCCGGGTTTGCAGCGCTCGAGAGCCCTTTCCGAACGCCGTCTCGCTCCCTTCGTGGGCTCTTGCGCAAGTCACCGGCGGTGGGAGCGATCTGGCTGAATCAGTAACCTCATGAACATGCTTATCAGGGTGCTCGCGTATTTCGTAACTGCACAGGAGAAACGTATGGATTTTCAAAAGCAAGGCGAAGGTTCAATTGATTGGACGGTTTTCCCTGCTAACAGCGGCCCGTGTCCGTCCCCTCTGTGAGCAGTTCGGACTCGCTCTCAGATGTCTCTGCAGCGGCCCCGCTCCGCCTTCCCTGAAACTGTTCCCTTGCTTTGCACATTTTTAAACATTTTGGGGGGTTGTCCACCAGACAAAAGTCCTGCCTCTCCCTCTCAAAAAAGTGCCCATTCCGAACTTTGTCTTTAAAACAAAAATCCCCCGAGGAGGCGCTTCTATAAATTCGCCGCGAGCACTCTTTATTACAGCGAACCTCGGCCGGCTAAAAGCCCGGCACGCAGGGAGGTTTACTGTCATCAATAACTCCCCGTCCTTGCGATATAAATTATAATTGAAAATAAACTTGTCAGGGAGCTCTGCCCAACACACAGGACGTGAGAGGGTCCGAGAGAAGCAATTAAGAATGTTAATTGGCACAGAGAGAAAAGCAAAGGATTGGCCATTGTTGAGATAACTGGTCTATAAACAGCTAAATGGATTTTGGGAAGGGGAAGAAAGGATCATCTTTTGACCATGAAAGGGAATATAAAACGTTCTTTTCTTTGTTCTAATGTGTGGAGAGAGTTTAACTTCTTTTCTCAGCTCAGACTCCCAAGCAAACACATGACGTGGCCCCGGTCGGGTGGGCTGGCAGAGAGACGGGGATGCGGCCCCCCGAAATGGAGGGAAGGCGGGGAAACCAGGACGGGAGACGTGAGCAGAAGACAGCGGACACCGAGAACCAGAAGTGGGCGGGGGGATGATCAATGAGGGGGTAAAAAAAGGCACCAAAAGAGAAGGAATAAAACTCCTAGGAAACGGAATGAGAATTAAGCCGAGGGGATGACAAACAAACAAAAAAAAGAGTCATTTTTCACCCTCCAGGTGATCTGAGAGTTCATTTCTTTTATTTTCTTCTTCTCCTTTTTTTTTTTTTTGGAGAGTTAATTTCTTTCTTTTCGAATCCTCACTCAAGGATGGATACATATGAGTAACTTTGTCCACTGGGAGCAGAAACCTGAGCTAAGCACTGAGAGTTTCAGGGCGGAAAAACTGGAGTTTGCAATCCAAATAAAAGTTGTTACCCCTTCCTTCCTTCCTTCCTTCCTTCCCTCCCTCCTTCCTTCCTTCCTTCCTTCCTTCCTTCCTTCCTTCCTTCCTCCCTCCCTCCCTCCCTTCCCTCCCTCCTTCCGTGTTAAATGTCATATCCCAGTGGCACCTTACCAAATAGACACCGCAATAATTACTAGGACATGTCCGAAATGTAAAACGTAGCTCAAGAGGGATGGCTTGCGGAGTGCTTAAGAAAGCCTTCATTGTCCTGCACCACTGAAGTATTTAGATAAGCTTCGTGTTAATGGGACTGCTAAGAAAATAACAGTAGAGCAGCCCCCTGCCCCCACACACGCACACTTTTAAAGCACAGTGCTTGTTGTCCAGTAAGATGACGGCCGTCGGAGGGTTCGAGCGCAGGGACAGATGCCCCGTTCCCTGGGTTAGGGGAGGAGAACTCTGATGCCCTGACGGACTGTAGCGGGGCAGGGAGGGGAAGGGCAGGTGTGGGAAGGGCGGGGAGACACTACGGGGATGGCCTGGGCAGGTGAGGATGGAGGCTTGGACCAAGGTGGGAGTGGTGGGGGCAGGAGAGCGGCTTGGATTGGGGACAGCATTCTGAACGTGTGGCTGATGGGACCTGCTAACAGATTGGGTGCGAGTGTGCAAAAGGGGGGGTCAAGGATGACTCCCAGATTTTTGACCTGAGCACCTGGAAGGACACAAGCGCCTTATACAGAAACAGGGTGGGCTCTGGGGGAGGGCCGTGCGGTGCTGGTGGGCCTCCGTACCCACCCGGGACTGGCTGTGTCTGAGACGCCAGTTCAACACTGACATGGGAAAGTCAAACCAGGAGTAGGAGAGGCCAGCCTGGAGTTCAAGTGTGAGCCCCAGGAGTCTGGTGCCGTCACCTGAGGATGGTGTTCGAGACCTCAGGGTAGGCTGGGTCCTCTAGGTAGAGAAGGGAGATGAGGAAGAATCAAGCGCCAAGAGGCCTGGGGAAGTCCAAGTTCAAAGGAGAGAAGCTGAGGAACCTACAGAAGTGACCGAGAAGGACCAGGCAGTCAGTCAGGGGGACCGCGGGAGGGACACACAGAGGGCCAAGGCAGGACAGGGACTCACAGGGAAGAATCTCCTGTCTGGACATGACCCTGCTGGCTCCGGGAGGACGGGCGCTCGGACTGGACTGCTGGGTTGGGCAACGCAGGGAAGGCCGCTCACCAAGAGAGCGGTCAGCGGAGCCGCGGGGCAGACGCCGAGCGGAGAGGGTTGGAAAAAACAAAGGAAGGAGGTGGTGCATAGGTAGGGTCACCTCTTCCGAAGCAGTTTCTTGGTGACCGGGGGTGGGGGGTACAGTGGGAAGGAGAGCTTCGGGGGAAGATGAGTGTGGGGGAGACAGGCCAGCAGGTGCCGGGCGATGCTGGAAGGGAGCCTCCCTGATAACGGGGCGGAGGGGGGGGAAGACGGAAGCAGTACAGGGCAACGGCCTTAAGCGGGTGGGAAGGGACGGGGTGCTGGTAACCAACAGTCCACCCGTGGCAGCAGGGAAGGAGGACGTACGTCTGGGTGCACGGCAAGACAAATTCGCTGACGTAGCCCGACTGCACCTACTGTGCCCCTGGAATTAGAAAGGAGAGTGAGGAAGGGGAGGACGCTGAGGGGTGGAGGAGGGGAAGGAAGGGGTGTGCAGTCTCCCAGGGAGGGGACAGAGCGAATGAACGGAGGAGGAAGATGCTGTGTGTGTGTGAGGTGGGGGCTGGGCCCATGTAGGTACTCGCGGGTACAGAGAGAAGCCAGCTCCCAAGGGCGCGCGCTTTCCCCGCCTCCTTCTGCACCTCTGACGGGGCAGAATGGCTGAGAGCTGGACTGGACCAGCACGGGGTTTGGCCAGGCAAGTCCGCAGAGAAAGAAAGAGAAGGGCCAGGGCGTTCCGAGAGCCCATGCCTGGTAAGAGGAGGCAGGATGGCAAGGGGTAATAGCAGCGAGACAGTGGTACAGTCAGTACGGTTGGAGGCCATGGGAAGGTCAAGGAACTGGCGGACTTGGGGTCCCCAAGGGACAGCAGAAACGCACTGGGCAACGGTTGGAAGGAAAGCTGGAAGCTGAGGTGGTGCAGGCGATGGAGGCGCGGGAAACCAGGAGAGGCGAGCCCGGGAGGTGTGGCCAAGGCGGTGCGGACCAGGCCCTGATGGAGAGGCGGAGAAGGAAACTGGGTCACATAAGTAACCGGCTTTATGGCATTGGTTACTTAGGACCAGGCACTGTTTGAACCACTGTCGCATGCACTTAGTCACTTACCCCACGGTACAATTACTGTTACCGTCCTACTCACTTTCCAGGGGAGGAGACTGAGGTGCGGAAAGGTGAGTGACGTGCCCAGGTTCTCACAGGGCTGAGGCCGACATTCAGAACTAAGCAGCTTCCTAGGGGCCATCCCAGGTGTCGGCCAAGCACAGCCCAGCGGCCCAACCCAGCCTGTCATTTCTTCCCGTGCGACCTGCAGGCTAAGAAAGCGCTTTGCAGACGGACATTCACCACGTACTTGATAAGACGCATTGACTTTGATCCCTGATCAAGTGAAATGTTATCCTCCGAAAGAATTCCATTTCTCGCAGTAGTAGACCTGTATTAGAAAAAAATTACAATCAATTATTATCATAATATTTTACACTTCATCAATTAAAATCTTTCTCTCTTGTGGAAGGACCTACATAATATCCTCAGCTCTGCCTCTTAGCCCACAAACCCTAAAATATTCCTATCTGGTCCTTCACAGAAAAAGTTTGGTGACCTTGGGACTACATTCAGATCTCTCTCAGTACAGGGAATGCTCAGTAAGGGCCCGTTGCTACTGCTGTTGTTACTATTATCTCATTCATAGCACTTACAAATGGCCTGGCTCTGCGTCCAGCCCTGTGATGTTACCCACAAGATATTAGATAAACATTAGTATTTGAATGAATGAATGGATGGACGGACGGATGGATGGATGGGAGAGTGGGTGGGAGGGGGAGGGAAGACAGGCGTGGGAGTATTGAAATTGATTCCACCTTTCATCGGACAGGGCTGACCAAGAGGACAGGGTCAGGAGCAGTGAGTTTGGTTTCAGAGACGTGGCTGGAGGTGAGGGCTGGTGAGATGGAGGGGACGCCAGGGAAAGCTGGCTGAATCTGGGCAGACCCAGCGCGGTCCCCTGGGTCTGCCCCCGCACGGAAAATCGCACGGCTACGCAGAAAGCCCTGTACACCTCTGGCCTATTTTTATAGGGAATGTAGAAGTGTGACCGGGGGTGAGCGAGAAGGCTCTGGAGGGCTGGTCCCCTGAGCAGAGTTTGTCAGGGAAGATCAGCGGCGATCGAGTCCCAAGGAAATTAGAGCCGATGTCTGGGGCCTATTGTTAGCTGCCTTCACAATTCTGAGAAGCAGATGTTACTATTTCCATTTTACAGATGCAGAAGCTGCAAGTGGGAAAAGCGGAGACCTGTCTGGCCCCAGGCACACGCCTGGGAAGGGACGCTTTGCTTCAGCTCGTCTGACCGCCAGGCACTCACCCACCTCTTCACACAACCCACCGGCAGGCAAGGCGCCAGGCCATGCAGTCCCCAGCGACCTCGTGCAGCGCCCAGCCCCGTGGGAGACAGATGGTGATAAACCAGTAAACAGCACGCACAGATAAAGCTACTGCAGCCTGTGCGTGAGTCACGAGGGAATGAAGAGGGTGAGACGGTCAGACAGCGATGGGAGGAGGAGGCTCCTTGAGTCGGGATGTGCATGAGCTGCAGGAAGAATGTTCTGGAAGACAGCAAGGGCCCTGAGGCAGGAATGAGCGTGGAGGGTCTGAGGATCAGAAATACGGAGGGCCTGGGAGGGCAACCCGGGAAGAGGGCAGCCCCGCCCAACATACTGGGGAAGACCCCGGCTCAGCCCGCCAGCCCCAGCCCGGACAGCTGTGCGCGGGGGCGGGGCGGGGATGTCGTGAGGGCCGCCCCAGATTGTGCACCTCGCTTGGGGCACGCCGGGCATTAGGAGAGATCCCCATCCCGGTGACCTACCTTCCCGTCCTGGGATAATCACGACGACCGAGGTTTTGAAAAAGACCCCAAACTGGCTCCTTCGGGCTGGTCTCCTTCGGGATCGGTCTTTCTTCTGTGAAGTGCAACCATTTCTCCAGCGCCATTTTTCATTTTCCTCTTTTCCGTTGCTGTTTTTGGCCCCAAGGTCTCACTGGCTACAGGAGAATAATCCATGTTGAAACGAATTGCTCAATTGCTGGGAAAACATAATGCCTGCCCCTTTTTATTGCAACATAGTGGTCAAGGCTTTGAACGTGTCACCTGTGTACACGGGGCCCTTCGTGAACTCAAGGGCTCACAGTCTCAGCTCTGTGGCCCGTGAGCAGGTTCCCTGGACTATGGAGCCATCGGACACCGTGGGCCGCATCTGGTGAGTGTTCCTGGGGAGAAGGTTCACAGCTTCCCTCGGATTCTCAAAGGGGCTGTGTGCCCACCCCCCCCACCCCCACCCCACGCTCAATCAAAACCCCGGGTTGGCGTTTCTTAGCCTCGGCCCTGGTGACACTCGGGGGCAGGTAATGCTTTGCTGTGGGGGCTGTCCTGTGCATTATGGGACGGTTAGCAGCATCCCTGGGCTCTGTCCACCAGACGCAAGTCCCAGCACGAAAACCAAAAGTGTCTTCAGACACTGGCACGTGTCCCCTGAGATGGGGACACACTTGCTCCTGGCTGAGAAGCTCTGCTCGGGGTGGCCCACTGCCCAGGGGGACACTGAGGCGGGACACAGGTCGGCAGCTGCCAGTGCCCTCCTCAAGGAGGCCCCTCCCTGTGTGAGGAAGGGAACGGGAGGGGGGCTTGGAGGGCCGGGGTGCGGCGGGGGACAGCAGCGGGTCACACGCCCGAGGACCCGTGAGACCAGGCAGGGAGAAAGCGAGGTGGCTTTAACCTGGGCTGTGCACCCGAGGTTTGGGCAAGGAGACCTGTGAGGTCCTTGACAAGAGTGTTGTTCAAAGACGAGGCCCTGCCAGCCCTCGGAGGAGGGGCAGGGGCAGGGGCAGCAGAGGCTGCTTGGGCAGAAATGCGGAGACATCCCTGCGTGAGCGAGAAAGGAGGAAGAAGAGGGTGGGCGGTTCCTCCTGCTCTACCATTTTCTTCTTCTTTTCTCAATGCACACCCTCCGATTTTTTAAAGCATTGATTGTAGAGAAAGAGGAAGGGAGAGAAAGAAGCACGGGTGTGAGAGGGGAATAGCCATCAGCCGTCTTCCATACACGCCCTGGCTGGGACAGAGCCTGCGCCCTTGGGTGCGTGGGCCGACGCTGGCACCAACTGGGCCACCGGGCCAAGGCCTATTGTATCATTTTGCAGGCGGGAAAACAAAGGCACCGAAAGGGAAAGGGATCTTCCCGGTTCCCACAGCTGGGAAGTGGCAGTCTGCACTTGAACCCCGATCTGCCACATTGCACCTCCAGTCTCATCAACGAGGGCAAGTGTACCCGTCTCCCCTTTTCTTTAAGGCCGGTCCTCCAATAACATCCTTCTGGCTCCCGAGCCACAAAACCCAGGGAAGCATTCCAAGGTGGAGTGTCTCAGGTGTGGCCCAAGGTGGGGAAAAATCTCTTCCCGGGATCTGAGGACCCTGAGGCCCTTTTGTTATGGGTGTGCTCCCGAGTTCCCCCGATTACTCCTGTCTCCTCCCTTCTCTATTATCTCGCTCCTTCCCCGTTTCTGCCCGAGGCCTGCAGGGTGTGGCTGGAAAAAAAAAATAACTCAACTGGAGGCCTGGAAGCTTGCAGCTCAGTGGATCAGCCCACTCTATATCACCGGTTACTGTGATAATGGTTTCTTAGTAGAAGCTATAGAGCCCTTTCCATGTGTAAATGAAGCACTTCCTTAAGGCGGTGATTTTTAACCAGGGGTCCGAGGGCTGTGTAGCAAATTTTGTGCAAACCCGCTTGGACTGCTGGGAGGGAAGGGAGTGGCGGCTCGCGTCAAATTTCACGATCTCCCTGCTTTGCACCCCAAGTCTCCAGCAGCCCCTTCTCCCACATCCCAGGGGCTTGGCCCTATCCTGCCCCCAACACCCTGCCTCCCCGGCCTCGTGAAAGCCTCCAGTTCACGCCTTTGCCCAGTATCTTGTCCTCAGTCCCGTGTGCCCTTCCTCGCTGACAAGGTCAGGCTCCCTCCTGCACGGCCCGCGGTGCCTGCCACCTCTCCCCTAGCATTCGTCACAGTTACAGTGTGGCTGTACTACTAATGAGTTTATTTGACCCAGACCTTTCTCCTCCAGGTCGCAGGTGCCGCCCGAGGAGGGGCAGCGTGGACTCTGCCCAATCTCATACCCCCAGACTCCCAGCGGGTATCCCAGCCTCGGGCCGCTGGGCAGACCCGTGGGTCAGAGCCCAGGCCCAGGCGGAGGCGCAGGCCTGAAGACTGAGGCTCAGAACCTACTATCGTGCACCCGAGCTCAGGCCGCCCATACGTGCTGCTGCCCTAAACTGTTTTTCCAAGGATGCCCTTTGTCTCTTCATGGGGTACTGCACAGAGGTTAAGACTGCTCTCTGGCCCTGGCTGGTGTGGCTCAGTGGACTGAGCACCGGCCTGTGACACAAAAGGTCGCCAGTTCGATTCCCAGTCAGGGCACATGCCTGGGTTGTGGGCCAGGCCCCCAGTTTGGGGCGTGCAAGAGGCAACTGACTGATGTATCTCTAGCATATTAAAGTTTTTCTCGCTCTTTCTCCCTCCCTTCCTCTCTCTCTAAAAGCAAATAAATAAAATCTTGGAAAAGAAAAAAAGAAGGCGGCTCTCTGGAGTCCGACTGCCGGGATTCTGTCCGCCAGCTTACGCCGCCCCAGTCAGCTTGGTTCGGCCCCTCGGGGCCTCACTTCACCCATCTGTACAATGGGGGCAAAGGCACGTGAATGGTACGCTTATTAGGGGGAATGAGTGTGATTATTATTGCATGTAAAAGGCTAGACGCAGACTCAGCATACAGTGTGCACTCAGATTAGATACTCTTTTCGTATGACAGGCTTAGTGCGAAGCTCTTAGTTTGGTGGTTTCTCACCTGAGCTCCTGGAGATGACCGGCCCACGCCTGATGCACACGTATTTTTGTTAGGGTCTCAGAAAGCGTGGCCTGGAGACCGCATGCAGAATGCCCGAGTACAGGAATCTCGTTTTATCAATGCATTTCCAAGTGGACAAATTCAGGGTTTTTTTTTTTTTTAATTTAATGTATTGATTTAAGAGAGAGAGAGAGAGACATCAATTTGTTATTCCACCTATGGGTGATTCATTCGCTGCTTCTCCTATGTCCCCTGACTGGAGGCTGAACCAGCCACCTTGGCGTACTGGGACGACGCTCTGACCAAGCGAGCTGCTCGGCCGGGGCACAAATTCAGTTCGCGAAGAGCAGCACCACATTTTGCCATGTACGATGCACACTCTCTTGCCCAAGTCTTTGAGGGGAAAATAAGGATGCGCACATACACCAGTATAGCGGTTCCCTACCATGGGCACGACACTCCTGTGTATAATGCGCACAAAAAATGTGGCTGCGCATCGGACACGGCGAAATGCAGAACACTGGCGAGAGGCGGACGGCAGGAAGCACGTGAGGAATGGGTACACTCTCAAGATGCGGCAGCAGCCTGGATGCCCTGGGAGCCACGGGGGCCGGGGCACGGACTGACGGGCAGGTAAATCCGTCAGAGGCCCAGCGACCACGGCCGACGTCGGCTGAAAGTGGGTCTTCGGCGGGATGCGTCTGTCAGGCACGTTTGCTGAGACATCTTGGCTTCATTACACCTATGACTTTTAAAAGCATGTGAAAATATTTTACAATATTTTGCAAAAAAAATGGAGCACCATAAATAACTGACAGGGGTGGGACGGTCTCTCAAGGAGCGGGGTCTGCCGCCCGGCTGGCCCGGGCTGGCTCTGCGGACGGCCCAAGTGCGCGGAACACGCCGCCTGCTCTTCGGGGAAGCCCCCTCCCTCCCGCCTTCTCTCCCCGGCTCTGGGCCCGGGGGGCCAGCCCGTGGGGGCCTGCTCACTGGCCTCTGTGACATCGCGGGGTTTTGTTGGCTTCAGCCTATGGGGAGCCAGGGGGGAGATGGAGGTCAGGGGAGAGTGACCACTCGGTGTGGCCCTGGCTGTGTCCCTCTGCGGAAGGTCACGGACCCTGTGGGGTGGCCTGTCCGACAGCTCTGATGACCACTCTCCCTGTTTCCTTTTCACAGCTAGAGGAGGTAAGGGACCCTCGGGTTGGGGGCCCCAGGGTGCTGCTCCACTCCCGCTGGTTTCCACCGTAAACACCCCTTTATGCTGCCCTCCTCCGCTGTCCCGAGCCTTGTCACTCTCGCCGGGACCCTGAACGGGCGCACTCGGTAATACCGTCTTACGGTTAGACATCAAAACCTATAAAAGTCCAGCTTGGACTTGTATATTGTGGAGGGTTCCCATCCCAGGGGCAGCAGGGATGGGGGTGGGGGTGGGGAAAAAAAACCCTTACAAGCTCAAAGTTGTAACCAAAAAACCAAATATTTAGCCCTGGCTGGTAGCTCAGTTGGTGAGGGCATCATCCTGAGACGCCAAGGTTGTGGGCTGGATTCCCCGTCAGGGCGCCTGCAAGAATCAACCAACGAATGCACAAAGAAGCAGAACAACAAATTAGTGAGTCCATGTTTTTCTCTCTCTCTCCCTTCCCTCTCTAAAAATAAATAAATAAAATCTTAAAAAAAAAGAATTACTATCTAAGAGCTGGCTTTTACACACGAGGTGCTAGAGATACAGGCTTTTTGTGATTTCGACTGCCCAGCGAAACCTCTGCGTTGGCACGGAAGGCAGACAGTACAGCAAGAACCACGCGATGGGGGGAACGTGGCTGGCGGTTCGAAGTGCGGGCATGAACGTTTCCTAGCGTTGCTCTGACAAACCGGGGCTTACACGACAGCGTCTCTGGAGGCTGGAAGCCCAAGACCCAGGTGTCGGCAGGGCTGGCCCCTCCCGAGGGCTGTGAGGGGAGGGGCCCTCCATTCCGGGGGTCTCTCCTCGGCTTGTCGCCACCGTATTGCCCCTGCGTCCCGTCACACTGCCTTCCCTCTGTCATGAGTGTGCCTCAGTTTCCCTGAAAAGACATCAGTCACACTGGAGTAGGGCCCGCCCGAGTGACCTCGGTAAAGACTGTATTT